TCGCCGCTGCCATCGTCGTCCTCCTCCTCCTCTGCATGGGATCACCAGCGGTGCTCCCGGTCGATGGCGCTAAGGGGAGAAGAAGAGCTCACGACGCAGCTCATTAACGGCTTCACCGCGACGCACGTGGCCGGGTCCGCGGCGTCGTTCGAGCCGTTGCTGTACGCGACCAGCGCCGTCTTCGCCCTGGGATTCCTCCGCGGGCCCGGCGTCGCTGGACCTCGCCGTGGTGCACCTCCGTCCTCCTTCCCCGTCTGGCGCGCCACGCCGGCCAACCTCGGGACTGGTCGCGCCGGCCACGCCTGCCTTCGACACTAGCCTCGTCCTCACGGCCCACGACGGCGCCGTGCTGTGGCAGACGCTCCAACACCGCGGGCGACGTCGTGCGCTGCTCAACTCCTCCAACCTCGTCGTGCAGCGGTACGCGAGGCCGCTGCCGGCGTGGCAGAAGCTTCGACCACCCCTCCGACACGCCTCGTCGTGGACCAGAACTTCACCGCCTCGTCGTCGCCGCTCATCTCCGCGAACCGCCGGTTCGCGCTGCGGCTCGGGAAGACGTACATGGCGCTGCACATGGAGTTCGACGGCGGCCGGGCGACGGCGCCCATGTACTGGAAGCACACGGCGCGGGAGGCGCAGCCTGGAGAACGCCACGGCGCCACCGATCTACGGCCGCCTCGATGGCCTCGGGTTCTTCGGCCTCTACCTCGAGAGCGGCGGCGGCAGCCAGAGGGTGGACGTGCTGTCGTTCGACACGTTCGCCCTGAACCTCGCCGGCGTCTTCCGGCGGATGACGCTGGACGACGACGGCAACCTCCGCGCGTACTACTGGACCAGCGACGCCAAGGCGTGGACGTCGGACTACAAGGCCATCGCGGCGCCAGTGCGAGCTGCCGACGTCGTGCGGCGCGTACGGCCTGTGCGTCCCCGGGAACGCGCAGTGCCAATGCCTCGACAGTAACGGCACGAGTACCAGCTCCCCGCCGTGCCACGCCGAGGAGACCGGCGACCTCTGCAGCAACGGGTCGCGGCAGCTGGAGTTCGACGTGGTGCGGCGGACGCGGGTGTCCGTGGCGTACAAGGAGGAGCTGCCGTTGCAGCCGTTGCAGACGAACACGACGGCGGACGGGTGCGAGCTGGCGTGCGCGGGCAACTGCACCTGCTGGAGCGCGGTGTACAACGGCGCGAGCGGGTACTGCTACCTCATCGACTTCCCCCGTGGAGACGCTGGTGTACCAGGCCGACGACCGGATGGTGGGCTACTTCAAGGTCAGGAAGTCGGCGGCGACGGCGAGCTCGGCCTCGGCGCGGCGAGGCATGTCGCCGGGCGTTACCGCCGCGATCGTTGTGCTGTCGCTGGTCCTCGTGGCGCTGGCTGCGGCCGGAGCGTATTGGGGCTACAGGATGTGGGAGAAGAGGAAGAGGAAACGGGCCGGGATGGAGCAGGAGCTTGTGCCGGGGCCGTACAAGGACCCTCAAGTCCATGGCCAGCTCTAACAGTTCCTTCAAGACATGAATCCAGCCATGACACGGTTGTGGAGTGGAGGAAGTGCTCGTCCTCAAGCAAGTTTGGATGAATCAGTCGTTAATCGCACAACGTGAGGTTGATCAGAGGATCAGGGCTCGTCTCCTTGATGAATCGAAGAGTTTGGAGAAGAGAATGAATTCAGGTACCTCAGCTCCTCGCTTCACAGCATTATTCCACAGCTTGGGGTGGAGCATGGTGGCTGCAGAAAGTGCAGATAATAGAGCAAACAGCCATGGCCAGCCTTGATCTGTTCCCAATTTGTTGGGTGACGGCATTCTTCTGCGTAGCCGCGTAGGCTTTGTAATTGTGTACAGACTTTTCTTCCCTGTTCTTTCACCATCTTTTTACGTATGTCAGCATGTATACAAGTCCAAGTGCAAGTACAATCTGTGATCGGTAAGAAACTAAAATAGCAATACATGGATCAATTTTACGAGGGCCTGTTAAGTTAGCGCATTGGATCCGAACTCTAGGACTTAGAGAAGCCTACTATGAATTTCATTCGTTTTTTTTGAGCCTCATGATTTCCAACCTCCACTCAATAAATTACAGAATTCACCCAAGTTTCCGAGCTGGGCTTTATTACAGTGACAATTTGCTAAATCATCTGAAGTGTATCACTGTTACACAGGTCACAAATTTCTATGTTTGTTTTGTAAAGAGGTAAAGTTTATTTTACAACCTACAACTTGTGTGACAATCTAATTTTCGGTAATGAACTCCGAACCACGGGTATTGAACACTCTCCAACAGTTAAAAACCGAACAAATTTGTTCTGTCTAGTTGGTTCCAAATTTGGTTTTTTATACTTGTCAATAATGAAAATTCTGGTTTATCTCTAGAAAAAATATAACTAATTTATCTTTAATCATAAAAAGACAAAACTAGCACCATTTGTTCTTAGAAATGTTGTCTATATGTTAGTGGTTTCTGTAAAGTTATTTGAACTTATTTATTTATGTTCCAACTTATAAAGTTCCAAAAAAGACAACTTAAGTAGTTAACCAAAGTAGGTCACAGTAATACATAAATATTTAAAAACAAAAAATGGTACTAGTTTCATGTTTTCCTAATTTATTTAAAATAAATTAGCTAGAGGACAAACTTGTCCGCTTTCAATAGTTAGAGGATCTCTGATACCAGGTTTTGTTGTACATAAGGTAGCTATATGGCTTTGCTTACATCAGCTTTTGTATACACAGGGCACATAATCAATAAGGAGTTCCTTATTTTCTTTTTGCTGGGTGTCTAAGAAAAGAAATGGGGATAGATGTTAGATTTTGTAATGCGCACTATACCTATAATAATTTTTCGGAAAATTTTGTTGTGGGACATTAGAGAAACATGGTATTGGTCAATTCACACCACAAACGATGAAATTTGTTGAGTACTATAATGAAATCACGGTTATTTACCGTAAGACATTGCACCGATTCTTTTATTCATTTATCTTATTTCAAGAGAGAGAAGGTAGGGAAAATGTCTTTTCTACCCCTATCTTCAACCTCCAGCGATGAACACCACTATCCTCCCTGTCTCCCTTTTAGCTCGTGCTCTGACGCTTGCCCACCTCCAATGCACCCCTGCCCAAGCATGCCCATGCCACCGCCACTCCAGCCCACCCTCTTCTACTATGTAGCGACGCCCCTGCCTCCTCTCCCCTCCCACGCACCCCTGCGTGGGTGCGCCCAAGCCACCAAATCACTGCCTCCGACCCCTCTCCACCGCTGCCCAGCCCTACACTTCATCCTCATCCACCATGTTATCCGCATTGGCAACATCGTCCTCGCCCTTGTCCTCATCTCGGTTTGGCATGATGGTAACGTCTCACATCAAGTGTGAAACGACATACCTCCCTCCACCCCTGGCCCTACCCTGCTCCCCATCCTTCAATGGGCCCTCGCTTGGCTCGTCCAGGGCACCGCCACCTAGCCCCATGCTTCCTTCCATGATGTGGTCATGGCAGCAACAGCGCGAGCTCGCTCGCAGTCATGGGGCCGACGTGGCGATGCGGGAGAGCACGCAAATGTGGAGCGTTCTAGGACGTGCTTTGTGAAGGCGCTGGGGTGGGATTCGAAGATGGAGGAGACGACAATGGTGGCCAACGGTGGTGGCGGTGGAAGTTGAAGACAAAGGTAGAAAATACACTTCCCAAACCTTCTCTTTCTTGAAATCTGAGCAATGAATAAAAATAATCAGTGCAATGTCTTATGGCAAATAATCGTGATTTCATAATGATACTCATCAATTTTTGTTGTTTACCATGTTGTCCGATGTCCCACATCAAAATTTCTCTATTTTTTTAAACACAACAAAGACAAGAGGTCTTCTACCACCTAAACACAGTACTATTAGATCCTAAAATATATTTAAAAAAACACAAGTGCTTGTACCAAGTGAAGAATTTAAACCTAAATAAATGTACATTTTAATAGCCAATATTTTCATTGTTGCCTCCTTCCTAGTTTAGGTAACTAGATGATACCCCGCGCGTTGTTGCGGAAATTTTGTAACAATTGTTAAATAAGATGTAAAAAGAGAAGGAGAACCAGCAGCTACCACTCTAGATCAAGAAGCAAGCGGAGGACATAGAGAGGCAGAAACCAATGCAGGGAATAACATCAATCCATCAAGAGGGCATGGAGGATTCCCCTCTCCTTGGTGGTTGATGCTAGCTGCTAGCTACTGCCTTTCCTTTGCTTTGTGTGGCAAAACCGCCCGAGTTATGATGACTCACACGCACCTATCATTGTCTTACAGACTTCTGACCATTATCCGTGGGACTCACACAACTCCGGTAGTCTGTCAGGTGTCCTCGGGGATTCCGAATCATCCACTTTTCACATCCGATCAGGATCATTTGAAGACATTGCAATATTATAACAGTTGATACAAATATATTACATCAAAATTAAAGAAGCGGAAATATTACAAACCATATGTTTAAAACCATTTATTTAAGTTTTTACAAACCATAAGTTTTGCATTCTCAAATGAAGTAGGATACATGACTAACACAACTTTATTCGTTACATAAAGGTATCACCTAGCCCAAGGATGAGAGCACAACGTAGCTACTGGCGGCTATCGTCTTCTAGAACCGACATACAACAGGATAAAAGCCTATATGCTGTTAGGGTTCACTTGCAATAGGGGTTAAGAAACCCTAGGTAATCAATTGTACTCCATAAGACTTACCGAGAAGCGAAAAGAAAAGACTCAAGGGTATGCAGCTTAATGTGGTACAAAAAGGGTTTAACTAGAATCAAGAATAGCTTTTGCATAAAAGCTTACTACGAGTAGATCCTTACTTTCAATGTTTTAGCTGTAGATTAATTCATTATCAGGATCCAGTTTGCACCTAATCTAAATAAATCACTTCTTTAAACACCTCATCTCAGTTCACCTTATATCCATAAGTAACTATGTTCCATTTATTAACTACAATGTAGTTTAGTTGATCGAGTCTTCTTCTCCAAGAAGCAGCGGCGATTCGAATCGATTAAAACTCAGCTGGGGATTCCCAACCACACGATATAAGTAGGTACCAGACCTACATATATCAACCTTCACTCAGATCCTCCAAAACAGAATGGGTTTGCGCCACCCGAGACACAAGACTCCACCGCCCTACCCTATTCTAGTAGGGTGGGTACACGCCACTCGCCGCCATCTCTCCACTCCGGTGGCACGGTTGTCCTTTCCCATAATGGAATAGCCAAGATATTAGGCTTATCGGGTATGTGGGCAAGTACTACAAGTCACGATCACAAGCGGCCCTACAACGATCGATCCTTAATTGACACAAACGGGACAAGCATGACCAGGCAACCCTATCGACTTAACCACCAGAGACATATCCCATGTCCCATCCGGTCTCCATATTCATCAATTCATATTAGGTTTTCAAGGCATCTCAATAGTATAGAACTATTGCGAATGATGAACTCATCATTCAACTTCTAATTAGCTAAGCATGGCTAAGCATTACTAGCCTGTCATACTAAAAAGATAACAAGGATGATATTGGGAATAACAGGGCAAGCATGCAGTAGTTGGTAATCAACCAAACCCTAATAACTTAATGCTCAAAGCATAGGACTCAAAGTGTAATAACATTTGTAAATCACAAGGAAGGGGTTTAAATGCTCCGGGGCTTGCATTGGTTAGTAAAGGTGTTAGGTTCTCCTGATGAACCAAAATATCGAAACCAACCTCCATAGGTGGATTCTCTTCCTCTAGAACTTGATCAATGGTTACTTCCTCGCCTTCGGTCACTACACGTGATAAAAGATGCATGCTTGACATGATGATATGCAAATAAAAATGATGGATGAAAGATGTATGCAAGTGCATGGATGAACTCAAACAAGATTAACAAACTTGAGTACAACTTTCCTTCGCATTAAAATTAAGTTAATTACTCACAAAACAATATTAGTATTATTATTAACAAGTTGATTATAAACACAACCAGCAAGTAATTAAATTGCCAAGGAACATCAGAGGTGTTTGTGTCCCAAGGTCTACAATCAATCCAAAATCACACTTAAATCATTTCATGATTAACCCTAATCATTTAGCATTTATTAAATAATAAATAATAATTAACAATTATCAAAACAGCACCAAACTCTTTGTGGAACTAGGTTATTGCACATTACATTTACACAAAAAGTTTCATGATTAAAAGATTATTATTTTAACCTATAAAAATCATGGAAGGTGCATTTATTAATTAAAAGAGGTACTTTTTAAGCATGCAAAAACTATTGATTTTCATCATTTCATATTTTTCGTAGATAGAGCACATCATGAGGACGCTACACAAAAATTTTCATATTTTTAACACACTTCTACTATTTACTATGAATTAAACAAGATCAGCACATATTTAACTTTTTTTGAAAAAGGTAAAACAAAGAAAAACATTTCTCACCCCAACCCCCCTTACCCACTGTGACTGATA